GCACACCCGGAACGCAGGCCTATTGTTGTGATCGATAACTTCCTTCATAAGAGCCAGGAGGGCGGTATCGTCTATGACAAGATTGCTGAATGGGCTGCGCGTCTCACAACGACGAACGTGGCTCATGTGATCTTCTTGACCAATGACGTCGCATTCAGCAAGTCGCTCTCGAAGGCCATGCCAGACCGCATGTTCCGTCAGATCTCGCTATCAGACTGCAGCCCCGAGGTCGCGAAGCGATTCGTGATCACCCATCTCGATGCCGATGTCGAAGACGACCCAGCGCCAAAGGACGGCTCACCCAAGAAACTACCCTCTCAACACCGCGACGATCTCGACGAGCTCGATACCTGCATCGACCTCCTAGGCGGCCGCCTCACAGACCTCGAATTCCTATCCCGCCGAATCAAGACAGGCGAGACACCCACCAAAGCCGTCCACGAAATCATCGACCAGTCCGCCTCCGAGATCCTCAAAATGTTCATCTTTGGCGCAGAAGACGAAGGCGGCAACCGCCACTGGAACGCTGAACAAGCCTGGTTCCTCATCAAAGAGCTCGCCCAGAAAGAAAGCCTCCGCTACAACGAAGTCCTCATCGACGACATCCTTAAAACAGGCGGCGAATCCGTCCTCCGTGCCCTCGAACAGGCAGAGCTCATCTCCATTGTCTCCGGCGCCAACGGCCGTCCATCCATCATCAAGCCCGGGAAACCCGTCTACCATCCCGCTTTCAAGCGCCTGACCGAGGACAAGGTGTTGAAGAGTCGATTAGATCTGGCGATCCTAACTCATCTGACAAAGATTGAGAGTACGACGATTGACAAGTGCGAGAATGAGTTGTTGCTGTTGAGCAAGTTGAGGAATCAGCCGGCGCAGACGGCGGGACGGGTGAATTATCTACTGAGCAAGTTGATGACGAGTCAGGGCAAGGTGGAGAGGTATGAGGTCGAGATGAAGGTGTTGAAGAAGGTGCTTGGGAATGAGTATTAGGTCTGAGGACTATGTGTGTAATGATACCATCTCCCTTCAATGCTAATGGATTGGGTTGAGTGTCGTGTTGTGAGGGTATGAGATACACTGTTGATCGTCGGTAGGACCTTTCACCTAACCTTGGTTGCGCATATTCTTCTTAGGTCCGTGCACTGATACTTTAGCAGATGAAGGTTCAACCAAACGCATCATTTCAGTGTCACCAACTGATTCCAACCACGCTTCTTGTCCTGGATACTCAACGTTCGCTCTCCAGCTATCTGCCGTGACCTTCGTCAAACTTAGCTCCCTAAAAGTCCTAATCTCGACCCCATGCTTGTCGAACACAACATGTAACCTCGCTCCGCAACCACGGACTTTGCATCTCCACCGCCTGCGTTCTGGATCCATCAATACGATTTGGGAGCCATGGTCTTTGCGTTTACAACCAGAATACCCCGGCTCTGGGGCTTCTCTCATTGGCTTTAGGATATCGGCGACCTTCTCCTTTCCTTGCACATGAGGACAGACATATACATCAGTGTCTCGAATTGTTTCAGCGATCTTGGTGAAGGGTATCGATCCGAAGAGACAGGTAGCACAACAGCTATCGCGGTGTTCTGGCAGGAGGTGCTGTGGCGTTCCCCAGGGGCTGCGTTCGTCGGCTCTGTATAGAGGTATTGTTTGAGTCAGACAGAAGCAACACGACTCCTCGCATGATGTGATAAGAGTGTTACATCCTTGCGAGCATGCGGGCCATGAACGTCCTGTCCCAGGTCCTTTAGATAGCCGAAGGAAGTCCTCAAACGCCATTTGTGTATGTGCGCACAAGTATATCGTGCCAGCGGACGCTGTGCATTGTCTTTCGCTGGCGATTATAGCAGGGCATTCCTGCTCTAGCGCTCCAAAAGCCGAGGATGGATGAAAGTCTGTACAGTAACTGCACAAAAGTTTGTCATATGGTGTGTATCGTCTGGAGGTGGTGTTAGCCTCTTCGTACTCAGCTAGTCGGTTGAAGCAATCTTTGCGCAGGCGCCAGGCGTATTCGTCGAAGTCTCCACTATCAGCCTGAAGCCCCCCCAGCTGCCTTTGGACGCCGTTTGTAGAAGAAAGACCCCAGAGGTATTTGCATGTCATACCAAGGCTGAGTGCGTCGACTGGTGGTAGCAGGTCGAATATGTCCAAGATCAACTCTACAGGTAGACAGGGTAGGTAGCATCCTTTTTTGGCATGATCGGCCTCGCTATCTGCCTTTTGAGGCATCAATATGAAGGCGGGATCTGGCCTGTGGTAAGTGCTGCGACCTGTTCGAGGGAAACGGTCGAGCTCGTGTCGGTGTATGAAATAGTCCTTCGCGGCAGAATGGTCAGCGACATTGTGCCGAAATTGACGTACCGGTGCACCGTACATGATCCTGGGACTGTCGGTCGTAGCCATTCTGAAGGAGATTTCGTAAAAGTTGGGGCGAGAGAAAACTCAGGGTGATGAACGAAAGGTTAGTGGAAGTTTGTTGCGCTGATTACAAGCGTATAAGTTAAGGCAACAGTGTGCGCTAGTGTTCACGTGCACAGACACACCCATGGTTTGATTGGACCCTTTTCTTTGGGCGGTTCAGTCGGAAGCATTCGATAACGTTGAGCTCGTTACGAAAGAAAGACGTACTGCGGTAGCTGTATCCCGAACTTGGTCACTGATGTCCGTGTTAGCGAAGATATATGTTAAGAATTTGATAGCGATAATAGCTGCCTAAATATCCATGACCCCATTCCCATCTAAATCAAAACGCCGGGACATGTCTGATCGCAAGTATACCCTTCAACGCCGTGCAACCCTATAATATCATTTTGAAGCCAACAAGTGAAACCCCTTCTTCCGCTTTCCAACGAATCTACATCTACTGATGTATCTGACTCACATGCCCCGCCTGTCCAGCACCACCCCACTCACTATCATCATCACTACCCACATCCGTCCAGCTCGTAGGCGTCATAATGCCCTGCCTATCGCCGTCGAACTCGCTGAAGCCGCCCTCGGAAAAGGCATCTGTAAACCCGCTTTCTGAACGCGCGTCGTGGTCTGTGTCGTTTTGTTCGCTGTTGGGCATGCTGAGGATGGCGATGTCGTTGGCTGGGGCGGAGGCGACGGAGCCGCTCATGGTCATAGATCGCTCGGAGCGCGGGGTTAGGGTACCGGTGGAGAGGTGCTCGGCGTCGTTGTCGTCGAAGAAGGGGTGGGAGGGAGAGGGTTCGCCTGCTTGCGAGGAGGTGAAGGAGTAGAAGGATTGGGCGGCTTGGTCGGCGTCTTCTTGTGCGGGCTGCGCGGGCGATGGGGTCTCGGGGAGGGAGTGCTCGGGGTCGGGGGTTAGGTCGACGAGTGTGCCGGTGGTGGGTGTGGAGGGGACGTCGGCTACGATTGTAGCGGAGCTTTCGCGGGCAGTAGGTTCTTCGTAGGTGAATGGCTTGGGTGAGGGCGCTTCGTCTTCGTCGTGGACGAAGAGTACTTGGTCGTCGGAGAAGGGGTTGGCCATGGTAGCAGCGGCTGCAGAGCCGGCGGCAAAGCCAGCAGCACCACGCTTCTTGAGATTGCCATTCGAGTTGTCTGTGCCAGTTGCCGTCGCATTATCCCTGAGCATGCCATCGCTGCCAACCATGTCGTCGAAGCTTCTCGTCCGATCAGCCCTCGACCGCCTGGCAGCCACCTCAGCCGTCTCAGCGCCGATCCTAGCCAGCTCATCCAGGTCGACGGCTATACCCTCTTCCCTTGCCCGCCTGATCAGTTCGTTCCTATTCCTCCTGATCAACTCTTCCCTTCTCTGTTTCCTAGCTTCGAAATCATCGGACGATTCGCTCGGGCGGCGAGGCTGAATGTCATCGCCAAGGTTATGCAGCGCGATGGCGATCTTGCGGCGGGTTTGGTCGGCCCATTGTCGCACTTGGGGAGACTCGTAGATGGCGATGCCGGCGGCGACGATAACGGACGCGGCGATTATGAGGCCTGATGTGAAGGGGTGGTTAGGACGGTGCGGCGGGGTTTGAGTGTTGCCTTGCGGAGATGCGAAGCGCGGGCCGGTGCCTGCAAGCAGGTTGGCATAGGAAAGTACAGCAGACAATAGAGGAATACGCGACAAGAGAAATAACGTTGGATATGCTGGGGACACCGCAGCAACATGCATAAGTGGAGTTATCCGTACTCACCTTTGGCCAGTGGCGCAGGCATCTCTGCGGACTTTGTGGTAGCTGATGCAGTCCTGCTACTCACGAAGATTCCCTGGTAATGTGGTGGGAAGTGATAATAATGAGGAGAATCCAGAGGCTTTTGACCTTGGAAGAGGCGTGTAAGGAGAGAAGGTTCGAGGGCTGAGAGCAATCATGGTTCGTCCGGTCCTTCGCCACTTGCACAGCCGCACATGCAGGGCCCGTGGAGCTGGGGGCTCCGGGCGGCTTTTGGTGGGGTCGCCTGCCGCCAATCTTGCTGCACATCGCCCCGCACCCGTTGGACTAACTGAATAACTAGGCCCCTGGAACGGCATAATTCACTCATAGCTGCGCATATCTGGAGATTCGATGAAGTCATTATAAATTGGGCTGAGTATCACCAAGGTCCATACGCCTACATCGTGTTGTCACGTCACTGCAGGAAAAGCTTGGGTCAACTTGAAGATTACACGCAGAAAGTATCGATTCGAATAGTAGAGTAGTTTTGGATGTAGAAAGCAACGCGAGATCGCAATGCACGATGAACATAAAAGAGCCACCTGTAGTCCTCAGTCCAGGTCTACCATTCGAGACCGATCCTGTGTAGAGGAAGTAGCTTCTAAAATCCATGAAAGAAGCCTTGATCAGAAGCGCAAAGCTCAGACACACAGCCTGAATCATCGGTAATATGCGAGAAGGCTTGCGCTATCGAGCTTGACCATTGGACTGGAATGCATGAAGAATGAAGACAGACTTTTCGAAGGAGAAAGATAAGCAGAGGGAGATAAGGGTGTAAGGAAACGAATGATGAAGAACATGGGGAGAAAAGACCATCAGCTAATCGCGAGCAGTCTTGGACGGCATAGCCAGGTCAAGATACGAAAGCGGTCCGTCAATCTCCTCGTTGAAGGAAACTGGGGCTTTCTGTTGACCACAAGCAGAACAGCAGCCTGTAGCACTGTTTGCCAGCTCCGACGTATCTGGAGTGTAATCCGGAGCATACGGGTTGTGGTTTCGCTTGGCTTTTGGGGTGCTCTTGGCCTTGTCTCCCTTGTATGTGGAGATAATGACGGTCTTGCGGCGCTTTTGCGAGGGTCCTTGGTGATATGGGTCGCGTTCTTCATCTGAGATCATGCGCTTGTTTTTTCCATAAGTTTCCAAGAAGCAGGCAGTCCGGTAGAGTCTAGGGTCGAGGCGCCACATGAGGGTGTTTTGGTCGAAGATCCACGGGTTAGGACTGTCTATGCTCCGGATGATTCGCACATCTGGATCTCGGTGCAGTCGAACGCCATCCCAAGGCATGACACGGGTGATGAGTGACTTTGCGATGGACCCGCAAGCGAGCCATTCGTAGGCGTGCCCCTTTGCGCATATCCTGTCATACGTATGGACCTTGGGTAGAATGATCTTCATGTCGGAAGCGCGAATCTCGGTTATTGAAAGCCACATATCAGCGCCCGATGCTGCCAGTTGTTGCGAGGTTATAGCAGAAAGATCATCCGGTACAGCCGTGTTCCGTATCCATACCGGAGTTATGATGTTGTGAATTTTCGTAGCTTGTTCGATTTCCTCTTCGTGGTGAGGAAACTTGGTCTTGACTGTCACTGTAGTACTCATTTGAGACCTCACAGTCCCAGCAATCAGGCCATCGGTACTGATTCGAGCGATTGAAACACACATGCCAATCCTCTTGCTGTCTTCATAGTGGAAACCTGCTCTTCGTATAGCGTGACCTGATGAAGTTAGTACTCGAGCAGGATGAACATATAGTACGGAACTTACTCAGATCGTCGAACCCGGAGATGTATGAGGTGGGTTCAATCTTCTTGTTCCAACTGAGCTGGCGCTCAATACGTTCTCTTGTCAGATCATCCTCAAGAACAAACGACCCGATCGACTGGAAACCATTTTCCTCGCTGATCTTCAGGTCTGGAAATTCACGATGTTTCGGGTGCGTGTCTATGCCGACGTAGCAACAGAGTGTCTGTGAGGTTTCGTAATAGGTCCGGTGGATGCTGGAAGGCAGTCTACCACTGTTCGCACGCACACGTTCATCGGTCTGGTCGAACGTACTGAAAGCTGTTAGCTGGGGAACCTGAGGATCTTCGAAAGTACATACATTACAGGGTTCAGCAGTTTGGACACGATTTCCCTTGTCTGATGCTTGTGTAACTCAGGCAATACGTTTTCAGCATTGTCAGGCCAAACCTCGGCGATGTTGCCGTACGCTGAAACTCGTAGCTTGCCCAGTCGAGTCTGATCCACGAGCTGCTGTGCCGACAGGACGGTGGCTTGATGTTCAGCCTGCGTACCAATGACGGCTGAGACCATGACGAGATATGACGATGTATGTAAGGATCAGAGTGATGAAGTTGGAAACGTAAGGAAGGGAGTGTGGGATCTTGAACAGGTGTAGTATCCAATCGAGTCTGCCGAAGAAGGGAGTGGTTGGTGGCGTAGAGATGGTTACAAGAAGTACAAGAGCTTCATTATGTACCTGTATCCTAGGATGCTAGATGATACCAGGTGAGAGAGGAGCGACGCAGCAATTGTCCTGAAATAGTAAAGGCGGTCCATACGGGAGGCAAATAGCTCGTCAGATCACAGGTGAGTCCCCCTTCCGGTGCGAAACTGGTAAGACCGTAGAGGATTAGATTGAGGGTAAATCTGCAAAAGGATGGCATAACTCAAATATTTGTGATCCCATAGCCATGCAAGATAAAAATATCTTGATTCTGGTAGACTATCAAGTCGGAGTTGATGAATACATTACTTTGATGGATCACTATACGATGATGAGCGGTGGACTGTGATGGCTGCATGGCCACACCAGATCTTATGCCTAGGGCTACTAATGAATATTGACGACGACAAAAAATGATGTGTGGCGGGTTGATGTGATGGTCAGGCTCTAATCGTAGTCAAAAACGTCGTTCGTGATGTTGGGAGATGCAGGTCAAGCTCGCTGTGGCTGGCACACGTTCCGCCAAGACCTCCGCGCGCCTGATTGGCGGTCGCAACCGCGTCTCAGCGAGCTGCCACTTGCGACACGCAGCATTCCGAGGTCGCACCACCACATTGCTAGAGATCGTGATCGGATAGCGCTTCCGACAGCTGCAATGAGTTCCTCTATAGAAACCGAGATTCTGAACAAGTACAATCTCACGACACTATACCCCGCAACCTGGCCGCAGGAGAAGGACGAAGCCGACGAAGAGGATACGTTCGACGAGCCCATACCCAAAGCCACCAAGCAATCGATACGGCGGTCCAAATCACGATACTCTGTGTTAGAGCCAAGTGCAAGATTCTCGCGGCAGGTTCCGGGAGCAGAGCGCTCGAAAGATGGCGTGGAGACGTTGGTTCAGAAGGACGAACAGGACCCGTTGGGCATGTACCCCAGTGTAGTGCAAGTGCTGCGGGCAAAGAACATTCAGGTCGAGGATGACATCAAGCTGCGTACGTCCCAGTCAAATAGCAATACATACAAGGCCTGTCTAATGGACACACAGGCAATCGCTTCCTCTTGAGCTCCACCACCTTCTCGCCCTCCCTCTTCCTCTCCCAAGTCCACAATGAAGCCTCCACCGACTCCCTCCTCGCTGGTCTTGACTTCCTTTCCCGGTCGATCGAAAAGAAGTCTGCTTCGCTCAAAGTCCTCGTCGAATCCAACTTCGATCGTTTCGTCGGCGCGAAAGCTACAATCGACCGTGTATACAATGAGATGCGGGACCAAGGGAAGGAGCAGGTGGAAGCGCCCAACAAGGATCTTCAGCCCGGCACCGGCAGACCCAGGGCTCGATCAAGCTTCTCCGGCCGAAAGACAAGCGCATCTCTGACACCAGGCATGGTTGACGCGGTGCCTGCCGAGAAGAGGAAGAATGCGCTCGTCAAGGAGAGCGAATACGGTGTACACGGAATCAAGGTCCCGCTGACCGAGGTCGCAGTAAAAGCGGAAGAAGTCTGGGGCCCAGCGTTGAACGGACGCGAGCGGGAAGAGACATTGAAGTCTATCATGGAGTCTGTGGAGCACCATCGAGGGCTGTTTGAAGTTGGATCAGCCATTCAAGATGCCATACGCAGGAAGGACCACGAAACAATCACCGAAGAATACAAGCGCGCGAGGAAGTACGCAGACGAAGCCCGATACATTGTAGAACAAGCAACGTCTAACCAAAGGCCGCTGACCGATGCCGAGATACATCAGGTCATTGTGACGGCCAGGATGTGGTCAGACGTCGAGCGGCAGATTGAGCGGTTCAAGCGCGAATCCTGGAAACGCCTGACCGCAGCGCACTTCACGCACCTACAGACTGGAACCGAAGACACCAAGTCGGATGAGTATCTGAGCATCATCTCAATAATGCTGGAGCTGGGCGTGGAGGAGAACCCGATCTGGGTATGGTTGCTCTCGCGCTACGAACACCTCAAGTTCCAGCTCAACTCCAAGTGCCAACATTCGCTGGTTGAGATTGAGATCCTGCGTCGTCATCTAGCGAACGGCGAGAAACCGAGCATGCGCATGCTGCAAAAGCATCTCCGCTCAGTCCCTACCAGCAGCAATGTCAGCGCTGAGCCGTCAAAGCTTGACACTCCGAAGGTGACCGAATTCTGGGAACACGTGTATGCCTCTATGACAACCCTACTCTCAAACAAATCCGGGTTGCTTGCTGAACTAGTTGAATACTGGGAAATTGTCCAGTCGTTCCTCTCCGGTCGCGCGCAACGGAACTTACCAACAGGCCATCACAACCAGTCGTCTGTTCACCACCGGCTCAGTAGTGAGAATAAAGCTGAGCTTGAGAGAGGCACGACCGAACTTATCAGCATCCTGCGGGACCATCTGTTCTCGTTCTTCTCGGATCCTCCCATTGAGGATGTATCCATGCTCATGTCACCACTGCCTATGAGCCCGACACCAACCACACCAGGAACACCACTGAGCGCAGCTTTGAGTCCCATGTCAGCGTCGAGGTCTAGGTTCGATCCTGCGAAAGCACCTCCACCGTCTCCCAGTCGTGGTGAGTCCTGGGAGAAGTACGCTTTCTGGCCTCCTAACGCGAATGCGCTTTCGGGATCTCACTATCTCTCCAAGATGCTCGTTTTGATAGGCACCGCAGCTAACGAACTTGCATCGCTTCAAGTTCCCGAGTCTGGAGGTAGCGGTCGCATCGACGAAGCACTGCGCTTGCTCCTTGGCGGTGTGCGTGAGCGCTGCATTCAAGCTGTGTGTGCAGCTTGGAACACGGATGCTGAAAAGTTGAAGGTGTTGGAAGACTGGACTCGTCATGTCGACCGCAAAGATACCACGAACCTACCCCAGCGTTTCCTTGCAGTACAAAGCTTTCTGCTTAACAACCTGCAAAAGATACTCTACGTCGAGGCGTCGAGCAAGACAAGAGTGGACGTCGTTGTACCGCCGAGCAACAAGCTGCTGCAAATGGTTAGAAGTCAATTCGTCACCAGTTTGTATAGGACATTAAGCGGAATGGTCGAATGTGCGGAGCGAGGCAGACAAGCTCTGGGTGCTGAGTTTGAGATCAAGAGTGACGATCTAACGATCGACGAGCAAGATGATCAGAATGGCAACGACTGGGGCAGAGTCGATGCCAACAAGAAGGTAAGCTATACCGACCCTGACCTCACACCCTCTGCTAATAAACGTCAGTCCATCCGCCTCCTCCTAACCCTCGCCAACATGTCCGCCTTCCAGTCCGAAATAACCCCCCAACTCCTCACCCTCTTCGAAACCCTCTTCAGCGTCCAACTAACCGACGAAACAAACCGCATCCGCGACGTCCTCTCCCAACTCGACGCCCAACTCTTCCGCTCCTACACAAAACCCCACGCCACAAAGATCCACTCTACAATCGAATCCGGCATCTTCAGCCCCACCTGGGCACCTCCCCCCGACACCCGCAAAAGCGTCGCAGACCGCGACCCAAGCCCCTACGTCTTCACCGTACTCCTGGACCTCGTAATCGTGCACACAGAATCCAGCACCACCTCCGCACCCCTAACCCCGCGTATCCTGCGCTCCCTATTCGAAGCCACAACAACCTCGCTCATCACGACCTTCCAATCCGCCAACCTCCCCACCATCTCCCTCCCGCAACTCATGCAAGCGACCCTCGACGTGGAGTTCATGGCACAGACGCTTGCTTCGTACACCACAGAGAAGGCATCGCAGATCCAGACGGATATCTACCAGGTGCTGGACCAGAAGACGGATAATGCGGCCAGAGTGAGGCTGCAGGAGGAGTTGGGGAGCTTGAGGGTGAGCTTGAAGAGGTTGAGGGAGGGGACTAAGGTGCAGTTTGCTTGCTTTAGGAGGGTTAAGAGGGGGACGCTTGCGGGTGGTGGGGCTGGTGGGGAGGGGCAGGATGAGAGGAGGGGGAGGTAGGATAGGTGTTGGGGGTGGATTGTTAGATTAAAGGGAGATGAAGATGGGTATGTGATAGCGGATATATTCAAGATTGTTGATAACGTCATGGAAGCCGTGCGTGCGTGATATGCTTTGACGTACCTGATCTTGAAGCCCGGCATTAAACCAACGAAATTGAATGCATGCAAGTACGAAATCTACCTTTCCGCGCCGCCTCCTTAACCATGCTTCTTACACTCCTTTCAACATCCTTCTGAGCCAGTAATATCCAAGTACTCACACACCGCACACACACCAACATGCCGCTCAACAACCAGCCTCGCGACGCCGTCGAAGCCGCCCTCGACCTCTTCTTCCGCGCGCGCCACGACCCTTCAATACAGCCATCCGCCTGGGACGACCTCGTCGCCACGTTCTCTGAACAGCAACATGCGCAACTTGAGGATGCAACAAGCGTGCTGCGACGCAATTGGCCGAGGCATGTACCTTATCCTAACCTAGTTGGCTTTGTGAGGTGGCAGGTGGAGAAGGCGGAGAGGAGGGACAAGGAGCTGGATAGGAGGGAGAAGGAGGATAAGAGGAGGGAGAAGGAGGATAAGAGGAGGGAGAAGGAGGATGAGAGGAGGAGGGAGGAGGATGAGAGGAGGGAGGAGGAGGATATGAGGAGGGAGAAGGAGGTGAGGGAGGAGGAGGAGGGTAGAGCGATGTCGGAGAACGAAGAGGAGTAATGGATATATGAGAAGATGTAGCGGGGGGATGTTAAATGAAGTTATGGATCGGACAATGCCTTTTGCGGAGGGGGAGGGCGAGGGGCAGGGTCAGTGCATGAAGAGTCTGGGTATCTGTGAGTTTAAATGTTCTTGATAAAGCACAATTCTATCGCTTCAAAGTGGCGCTATGCTTGCTCACAGCGACACGTATATCTACAGGTAAACGCCGCTGAATGCATCTTATCTATAAACCTCCATATCCGTATTCCTGTTCATGCTCTTCTCTCCCCCTTCCCTCCTTTATTCTTACAAATCGTACAAATACGTCTATTCACACATCTTCGCCGCCAGACAGCGGATGTTGCTCGAAATACCGTAGTAACGTTTGGTACAGTACCAACATAGTCCCTGATTGCACACTCGTCCAGACGGCGCGCGGACCCACGCCTCTGAACCACCCGGCTATTCCTTCTGTTTTGTATATTATCCTTAGGCCGGTCATGACGGAGGATGTGTCGAGGGTAGCGGCGCCGTGGGCTTTTAGTGTCGTGGAGGGAGAGGAAGTGGATATCGGTCTACTTTGCGTCGATTTCGTCTTGGTTGTTTGCGAGGGGGTCGAGTGTTTCGAGGTCGCGGCGGGCGACAGTGGTGCTTTGGATGCGGGTGGAGAGGCGGGAGATGGGCCGTTGTGTTGGGTTTGGATGCGCGTCTTTACTACGTCGAGAGGGGTTGTTATGACGCCTGCCATGCCGCCTGCGGTCGCTGCAGTTGCGATTTCTAGCGGCAGTCCGATGTTGTTTGAGCCCATGTACTTCTTCGCCCAGTCCCGCTCTTCTTCGTAAAAGGCAAATTGTAGTGCTGAGAAGGGGAGGTCGCGCCAGAGCGTGGCCTTGTAGCCGTGAAAGAGGGCGCTGTAACCTTCAACTCTGGCTATTGTTCGCGCGGCATCGATGGTGCCGCGGTAGTTGTAGCCTGAATTGAAGTAGGGGTTGTTGTAGCGGCCTTGTAATTGGAGGCGAGTCTTGAGGACTTCAGAGGGGACGTATGCGGGGGCAGCAGCGAGATCAGCGAGCAGACCTAGAAGTTCGTCAGTACGTGGTGGAACGGTATTGATCTGTAGGGAGGTGTACCGGCTGAGAAGTATGCGACTGAGGGTGCAACCCCATAGTCAATCATGGTCCGTTTGGTCCACTCGTATGCTCCGAAGAAGCACACAGTGCCCGAGAACGATCCAAGAAATGCTGGCTTCACTCCTCCGTACAATCCTTTCCGGAAGCCTTCTTGCCGCCATATGGTGTAGTATGTGTTGCCCATGGATGTGTACTTGGGTGGCATGTGCGGGTCGCCCTGCTGTCGCGTCTTGACCGTATCCAGCGAATGCATCAACATGTCGCCTGTGGTGCCTCCTATTCCTCCTGCCAGCATTGCCTGTTTGTGATCAATTGGCATCCCTCATCTCTGCAGACTAGGCATCCTCACATGTAGGTATGGCGGCCGCGCTGCTTCCTCGTCTACCTCGTCCTCCATTGCTGCCCGCTTGGTATCCTCCATGGGCAGTTCCACTGCGTGTGTTGTGCTTGGGCCATGTCTCCGGCTACCGTCGGTCAGGTTGGTGGTAGAGTCTCCGTTTGTGAAGAAGTTGGCCACGCGGGCAAGTACCATGAGCGCTTCGATGGCAGCGGTGCACTGGAAGTGGACTTGTGGGTGTTGTAGTGAAGAAAGACGAGTATAGCGAAGTTTGATATGTGCAAGGGTATCTTCAAAGAGTGACGTTGCTGCCGCTGCGGCCGTGCGATGATGTTGCGTCTGGAAAATTTCGGCCAAGACCGGAGCTGCGCAGCCACATCCCTGCAAGCCCTGGCTATCAGCTATCAGAAGCACGGGGACCAGACGACGGCTTGATGCAGTTAAGACTACCTGAGCTATACCTACGCGAATGCCACCAAAACGACTGCAGACAACACATCTTGCTCAGAGACAGCGTGGTGTTGCTGTAGATCAATGTATTCTGTAGGCTAAGCCCTGCAACAGTTAGCGCCCAGATGACCCACGTGAGCCCCAGCCATCGTGTTTACATCCAGAGTCTCTCTGCATCCGATCAACACCACACCGCCCCCACCTTTTTCGCCCACGACGCTTTTTCGGCTTGCATTCTTGACTCATTTTGATCGCAAGCTTTACGCGACCTGATCTATACCACTCACCATGTCCCACTCTTGGCTTCAGAGGAAGCGCAAAGCTGACTTGATCGACCTTGCGCAGAAGGCTAGACTTCCCGAGTAGGCTGGAATCGATCCTGCGCGTGTATGCGATACTAACAAGTCGTTTGCAGTGCAGATGGCCTCTTGAAAGATGATCTCGTGGACCTGCTTGAGAGCCATCTCAACTCCAATGAGAGCACCTTTGCCAAACTCCCCGAGTTTAGCGACTACTATGGGCGCAATGGGTCGCCAGTAAAGCGCGAAAAGTCTTCGCCAGAACCCTTCATCACGAAGACGACGCGCCGCCGAACTCTTAACAAAGACCCTTCGTATGTCAAACTTGGGTACGCGACGCGCGACGCGCTGAGGCTAACAAACGCGCAGTCCCGAGTCCACCCCCATCATCACACCAGAAATCCGCAGTGTTGTCGCGCGTACACCCAAGCCGAGATCCGTCTCTCGACGTGTTTCCGAGATGGTCGCTGAAGCCGAACCTAAGGCCGTGTCCCGTCGCGTTTCCGAGGTGGTTGCTCAAGCCGAACCCAAGGCCGTCTCTCGTCGCGTTTCCGAGCTGTACAATCAAGTGGACATTCCCGCATCGCCTGCCCAACTCGCTGAGGTCGCCGACCAGTCTTTCCAAGTAGTACAGACAAAGGCTGTCGAGCTGTGGGACAGGACCAGGATCGATGAGCTGAAGGAGTTCGTTCGAGAAAACGCAAGCTCGGTCGCTACCATCCAAACTATCATTCTGCTTGTCGAAGCTGTAGGACTACAGTACAACACTCTCGACACAACACCTTTATTCGCTACACCCGCCGCCTTGGGCTCATACACGAGCAGCCAGGACGTTCGAGGGCCAAACTTCTGGGCGCTGCTCTCTGCCGAGTGGTGGGCACCAGCTACCCTCTGGTCGCTTACGAGCTGGGTGCTACCGCTGATGTTCTCCTACTTCTTCAACTTGACCCTTCGCTCAAACACCTCGCGCAAGTCTTCCGAGCGCCAATATCCTGCTGATCCGCTCATTTTCAACATTGCGCGGGCAGTCCTGTCGTACAATGCCTACCGGGAAACTGTTAACATGGCATTCGCGCCAAGCGCATGGGGTCCCTTCTCCGAGTACGCGGTTGCGCGCGTAGGAAACAACGTCCCGGGAGGATACTACGGGTTGCAAATTGGCTCGCTGGTTGGCATACTTGTCAGCCTTTACGACGCCGCATTGAAGAAGTAGATACTTGTTGGGATAGAACATGGAATGTGACTGGGTCTGAGGACGTGAATCTGGTGATACCTGTATGTTCATTGGCGTTTGGATATACGATACCTTCCACCCTGGCGAGCTGGACACACTTTGCATCTGGATGCGGAGTTCGAGACCGGCGTCTATCGGAATGTCTGTTTCATTGGAGCTGCTACGCTTCATCGTTACCCAATATATACCTATGTCAAAATTGGTGCCCTAACTTGATCGCCTTTGAGAAGTAGTGACCCGGGTGCAGACAAGACGCTCCAAATGCTTCAGCTGTTAGACCCGCCGCCACTGCGCGTTGTTGATGAAACACGTGAAGTCGCGTGTGCTATCGATAGCTCCAAGCGCGAAAGGGCCACGCCGTCACCCCTCCGTCCCAACATCCTGCCATTCAACATCACTCTCACACGACTGCACCCACACGAACTTTACTCCAGTCTACCAATTGAACAACATACAACATGTCGGCTCAGTTCATGCAAATGTTGCAGAACATGCAAGGGCGGTCAAGCCGGTATTTAGCGCAACACCTTTGAAGCTCCAATGAGTTGCTAATGTGCAGTGTCAAGTACGGTGGAAGACATGATCAATTCCGATGACCAGCTCGCTGGCATGGACGGCATGGAACTTCGCGGCTGGAGCCACAACAACCCCACGGTGCCCAGTCGTGACCTCAAGGACCCAGTCGGCCAGACCCTCCTCGCTATCTTCAATCAAGAATTCGACGCACTACAAAACTACGTGGAGATGATGATCAAACAGCTCGGGGGCACCGAGGAAGCTCGCGAGACGCTCAGGAAGGATCTCTTCGCCAAACGATGGGGCCCCACGAAAACACCCATCTACAATGTACTCTTGCCAGCGCTGCACATGATGCCAAACAAGAAGCAAGAATTACTGGGCGTCGTGAAGTATCTAGCCAATGATCTCAAAGTGCCAGTCGATGGCAAGGACGTCGTGGGCAGCACCGCCCTCTTCTGGGCCATATCCACAAAACCCTACGTGCAACCCGAATTCGCGCAGATCCTCTTCGACGCTGGCGGTTCCGTCAACACGAAGAACCGCTTCGGTGCTACCCCAGGTTCAGAGATCGCCCAAGCCGACATCCACGGCGACACGAGCAAGAACGTGCAGATGCTCAAGTGGTACGTGGAGCATGGCGGTGATGTCGACAGCAAGGACACGGATGGTATGAGTATCAAGACGTTGGTCGAGATGATGAACATGAAGGTGCCGGCTATGGCTGCGGTTCTCAAGAAAGGAAGGGGACCGAGGAAAGAGGGGGATTGCACTAACTGCGGGAGGAGCCCGAAGGATGGCAAGGTCTTCTCGGCTTGTGGCAAGTGTAAAAAGGCGAGGTATTGTTCGCAGGAGTGTCAGAAGGTGGATTGGAAGGGGCATAAGAAGATTTGTAAGGCGACGTAGGGCAGGGTGGAAATGTGGTAGTGGGAGACGTGAGGAGAGACGGTACTGGAGATGAGAGTGCCGCGTGGAAGAGTTGGGTGACCATCAAAGCCGACCATGGCTAAAGTCTGGCTTCCTGGCTTCTGCAGGCGATAGGTCATGAAACCAGCTATGCATATACGGGTCGTTCACCGGCAAGACCGGCCCAAGCGGCGCTGACAGAGAAGACGAAGCAAATACACTGTTTCGATAGCACGCGACACAAGAAGTCGTCTACGGAATGAGCGTGCGCGAAACGACTGATGCGCATTCGGCTGGTCTGGTAGTTGGCGGGACGGAATGCACGTCGGATATCCAATCGAGGTGTATACACTTTAATCGTCTTCACTTCCTCGCGGTCTCTACACCATTTCCTTCGAGCTTTTATCAAAAGCTGAATATAGTTAAAGAGTTGGGTGGGGCGCGGGGACACGCGAACATGCATGCACGACGATTACTTGACGTCACTCGTAATACATTGACCGCCATCTCAAAAACGACTATGTCCATCTGAAGCAATCCCTACCACACGATCACCGTCCCAAGAACTTATTCCGCTACCAATCGTCCATCCATAATGAGGCTAAATCCCAACGGCGACGCATCCACTTTTCCCAAACGCTCAGCCTTACCACACATCGCCGGCACCCCAAAAGACAACGCCTGGTTCTGGGGCGGCCACGATGAACTCGGTCGCCTGAATCTCCTCACCCCCGAGCGAACAGTAAAAGCGACACAAGAAAATGTCAAAACAGGAGAATCAGTCTCACTAGACCTCCCCTTGAACGTCCCCAGCCCAGCCTTCTTCGGACGAAAAGGCCTCAAACACCGCATCAAAACCATTGCCCCAGGCGCTTTCGACGACGAAGTAGCATTCAACACGCAAAGCAGTTCGCAATGGGACGGTTTCCGCCACTTTGCACATCCAAAATACGAGTGCCACTACAACGGCGTTCTCTCAGATGAAATCATGGCGGATGTAGACGACGACGGCGAAGATGGCGACGCAGCACCTGAGCGCTCACGTAAACTCGGTATCGACGCGTGGGCCAAAAAGGGAATCATTGGCCGGGGCGTCCTCCTCGACGTGTACTCCTGGTCCCATAAAACGGGGAAGGAATACGACACTTTTACCAAACACGCTATCACAGCAGACGATCTCCTTGCATGTGCTCAATCCCAAGGCACATCCTTCCAAACCGGCGACATCCTGCTCGTACGAACGGGTTGGCTCTCAACCTACACTTCCCTCTCCCCCTCCGAGAAATCCTCCCGCAGCACCCTCCCCCACGACCAGCACTTCTACGCCGGTCTCGCCGCCGACGATGCCATGAAAGACTTTCTGTACGACAACTACTTCGCGGCTGCTGCGACCGATAATGCGAATTTCGAGGTTTGGCCGCCGGAAAGCTTCGAGGAGAGCTTGCATGCGTGTATGTTGAGTATGTGGGGGATGCCGATTGGCGAGCTTTGGGATCTGGAGGGGTTGGCGGGGATGTGCAAGGAGAGGGGACGGTGGGAGTTTTTGGTGGTTAGTAAACCGGTGGATGTGCCGGGGGGTGTGGGGAGTTTGCCTAATGCTGTTGCTATATTTTGATGGGGAGGTGAAGGGGTGAGGATTGGTGGTTCGATACCCAGTTTGGAGACTTCAGCGTTATCCGTTTCTTTCTTACGCGTCGCGTCATCTTTGATCTGATCAAACGATCTTCACCTGCATCGTCCTAGTACATGGCACGCGAGTTTATGAAGAAGTTCGTTTGTATCAACACCTA